TCTCCTATTTTCGGAAACTCCCAGGTTCGGTCCGTGAGCAAGCTACGTTAGCACAGCTGAGTAGAAGCCACCTGTGCCAATCTTCGTCTGCTCAGGTTTGCAAAGTTGCCCTCCGTGGGAACGTGGCTTGCTCCCAATCCTAACAAGCGTGCTCAGGCGGCTCAGGCGATTCTCCGAAAGTGCTTGCCCGTCGGTGCTGAGTGTCATGCTATCTGCATCATCCGCAGGCGGCAGCAGCTGCATCTCCTGCTTTCGCCTGAGACTGGCGCCATGTTCGTCAGCCATGCAGAGGCATGATCACAGACACTGTCCATGCTGATCCGATGTCAGGAAGCTCCACAAAAGTTCGCCAAGATGCCGTCTGTGGGTACTTGGCTCGCACCCAATCCAGAGAAGCTGCAGGTGCGAGCAAGAGCGCCACTTGTGCAGTGCCCAACCTCAGCATGGCCGCTGTCGCTGTGCAGGGCAAGGAGTCAACATCGTCGGCGTCCACCGGAACAAAGGATTTGCAACTACTGAATAGCTTCAGCAACGCTGTCGTGTGCAACAGAGAGTCCTTTAAGTGGCAAATTTGTATTGCAACCACAGAAACGGCGCCCTGCTCAGAAGCGGCAGGAAACGGCGGAGACGGTGCCCGCAGCCGCCACAGCTCCGGAGCCTCGGCTCACACGTTTTACGGTTCTAAGGTTCTGGGGGTTCTGGGGTTCCAGGGTTCTATGGTTCTAGGGTTTAGGGTTTAGGGATTTTACATCGGGAGGCCATAAGTTTCGACCTACCGGACCTTTCTTGTCTTGAGACCTCTTGCGGTGTCGCGGAGTGCCCGGAGGCTCACATCAGTGGTCCTGGCTGCAGGAGGCTTTGTACCCCTTCTTAGAATTATACTAATGTTCCGGAGGAGTAACCCGGCGGATCTTTTCGTTAGAAGTCTACAGGAGCATGAGCGGCCTCGGTTCTATGAACCCGCGAGTAGATCAAGCTTTCATCCCACCGCAGCAGGGTTGTTTGCCAAGCTTGAAGAAACTCCTAAATAGATACATATATATATATAT